ATTTTTTTTTTTTTTGAAAGGAGTTTTTTATCTCGGTAATTCGAATAAGAAAAAAGAATATCGATGTTTTTTCGGATGACCTTTATAAATCACTCATAAACTCGTAATATCTAATTCCATCACGTAATATATTTTTTTTTTAATGGCGGGCACTTGGAGCTATTGTCCATTGGCCACAGAAAGTGCCAGAACTGCTAATTCTCTTTTCGTTACCCAGTGGGCACCTGTGGCGAAGCCACGGCGGTGGAACAGCGTCGCCCACGTCACACTACCACAACCCGTTTATAGGGCGGGTCACATTCACACACAAAGGAGAAAGGACATAGAACACAGATAGAGGGAAAGAAACATCCATGCCTTGCCCGGGATTCGAACCAAGAACCTTTCTGATGCAAGGACAGTTCCCTGCCCCCTACACAGACTAGTCGGCTTATCAAAATTATATGCTTACATATTACTTACATTTATTATATACGTACACATTACTTATATTTAGAATTATCAAAAAAAGTCTGAGGTTGAGTAAAAAGGAGCATAAAAAATTGAGCATACTAACGCTAAAAACGATTTTTTTTTTTAATAAAATGATACTGTAAAGAGAATTTTTTAAATTATTTATTTATTTATTTTAAAAAAATTAGGTATTTGCACTCACAACAAAAATAAATATTTTAATAAACATTTTTTATTTATGTAATAATATTCATTTAATATAAACTTCTTTTTAAAAAATAAGTAATGCATCAAGTCGCATTATACTTTAAAAGCACATTGTACGAAACGGATGAATAATTACTTAGACATAAGTTTAAGTCCAGAAATGAGTCTCGATTAGTTTAACAGTCAATTGTAGTCCATGAAACTCGAGAAAATTTAATTTTAAATTGAATTTAATTGAAAATAGCTAGTCAACATTACTTTTTTTTCCAATATACCTGTCAATTATTTGATTGATTGAAAATAGCACATTATGTTTAAAATTATTGCTTCTGAGGTAAATCATTCCTCTTCAATACATTTTATAGATGCAGATGTGGTTTTTTTTAAATATTTTTTTATAACCGTCGTTGAACAGCAGACACAATTTTTGGGTTTACGACTACTAATGTTCAACTCAATAGCCTTGTAATTTTGAACCCAATCCAGAAGACAAGAGAACTCCTGTATCAAGGGTTGGGAAAAATTTGCCTTCGTGGAGGACTTTTTCATGGAACTAACCCGCATTTGCGTTACACGGATACAGCGTCAATGAACTACCTCTAAGTTTTTATTTTCTTCTCAATTGTTTTCGATTTTATTTTAAGTTCTGACATGATGCACACCATCGTTTTGAAGTACCGCTTACAGCAATGTTTCTCAAAGTGTGGTACGCGTACCCCTAGGGGTACAGGAACAGTTTAGCGGGGGTACGCGTTCTTATGCGAAATATCTTGCAACAAACGAAAATTTCAAAAAATATTTTTTAAAAACAAAGCTAACCATGAAGATTTACGTTTTTTTCTATTGGCTATTTTTTGCAGAGTTAATAGTCAATAACTAAAATATGTTAATAAAAATAAACATATTTTTAAAAAATAAATTTTTTTTATTAGTGGTAGACATCGTTACGAAAAATTTATAAAGGATACACAAAAGTCATAAGTTTGTGAAATACTGGCTTACAGGAACGAACATGAAATGCAGGAGATTTGCAAATGACAGGGCAAGCTCCGTGATTAGCCTTTGATAAAAATAATAGTAATCACTAAGGGGCCAATTTGAGAATGATATATTCATAAAATTTTAGATCCATATTTAAAATATTTATGTAAATGTAAGCGGTAATTAATCTATGATAAAGTATTTATTTCTTCCAACAAAATAGTTTTAATTTAAAAAAAAAAATTTTTTTTTATTGATCTTAAATTTAAATATTAAAATTGTTTAAAAATCAAGGTTTTATCTTCAAAATATGTTTTATTATTGAATCAAATATTTATAGATTAAAAACTCTCATTAATTTCATTATAAAAATAATAGCTTTGTCCTTGAATGGTTAATTTCTTGTAAACATTCCTCCCCCTCCCCCTCTGCACATTTCTGCGAAAACAGATTCCTCGAATTCGATATCAATAGATACTGAGCTAAAAATATAAAAATAGCGCAGAGCGCCATCTATGAGAAGTGTAAGAAATATGCGCATTACCAGCTTCTGGATGTTCTACAGCTGCTTCTGGTGTCCATGGTCCGGCTTTCACGTAACCCCTCTTTTCTAGGGAAAACACAAATCCTCCATCACCAATTACTACTCCTGACTTCAGACGATCCAACAAACCTTTTCTTCCCTACAAAACAAAAGAACAATAAAATACTTTTTATTCATCCACTCTTTCTACCTATTCTTTTAACTATTGAAACTATATTTTCATTTTAAAGCATTATTTTCTTTCTACCTATTTTATTTCTATCCGGCATTCCACGAGATGCACTGATTACTAAATTATTTTTATTTCATACATGGGATAGTGAAAACTTATGTCCTTATCTTATCTGCGAATCAATTGATTTCTTTTTTTTTATTTTTTATGTTTATTTATCAAATGGTTCATTATTGATTGATTCGAATAAAAGTAAGACATTCTCTCAACAACCCTTGGTTTTTAAAAAAATCAGGTTTTCCATGTTTATAGCTGCGAACAGCAGTTTTTTTTATTTTCTTCCATTATTTCTCTTAAACTGATTTTTCAAAACATTTTTTATTTTTTAACTTTCTGATTTTATAGCCTCTTTTTTCTCTTTGCAGAGAACCAAATATTTCTGTTTTCTTTTTTTTTTTCTTCTTTCAATTCCCTTAAACTGATTTTTTTCAAATCGTCCCCGTTTTTCGAACACTTCGTAGTGCCATTAACTGATTTATTTATGCTATTTTAATTATTTTCTCAAAAGTTTATTTAATTACGATTGTTACTATTATTAAGACAATAATAGCTGCCTTTAGGTGACAAAAATTGTTTCGGCATTTTTTGTTTTGATCAGTGATCCACACAAAAATAAATAAATGACAGTCTTATTTTTTTTTTTTCAGTTTGTCATCTGAGCGTAGTCAAGGACAAAGTCTAATGAATCATGTCGCATGAATAATATCGCATTTCAGAAAACTTTTCTTTTTTAAAATCAAGTATAACGTAAGCATATCAATCTTGCAGTTATGAAAATGAATTAAGTTCATAATTTTATAACCAAGAGTATTTCATTCTAAGAGAAGAAGAGTACAGAAGAGTATTTCATTCTAAAAAGTCGGCTGATTCTCGCAAATAAACACTAACTGAACAAAACAAACTTTAATTCAATTTTATACCAATAAAGAGAAGAAGAAAAAACTCGTATTAAATGGCAAATCGGTATTCGCAAATTAATTGCGAAACAAAAAGCATTATCTGTTACTTTTGAATTGTTATAGAATGAAATATTAATACTGGAATAAATTATTATAAATATAACAAAATATATAATAATTCATACTTTTATACTGTTAATATTATTTGTATGAAGATTAAATTCCTTAGACAAGAAATTTATATAATAATTTTCCAAAAGCTCCAAAAGATTTTTTTTTAAAAAATGAAGTGTTTTTTTTTTCTTTGAGTGAGAGAAAATAAATTTTTTTACAACAGCAACTTATTAAGTTTAACATATTTACTCACAAGAAATGCTCAAACAATTATACTTTCTATAAGAGAAAAAGTGAGAGTTACAGATCGTTTACTTTCTCCGTAAGAGAGATAAAAAAAAAAGTATTTTTCTACATTTTGTTTTTTAAATCTTTACTAGATAAGTAGAAGATCTGTGAGAGAGAAACATGACAGTATTACTGCCGGTTGCAATTATCTGATAATGGTTAATACGAACAGCTAAGTTACAAACTTTATAAAGCTGGAAAAAAAGATGTTAAAATGAAATTAATTTCCAAATCATACGTAGTATCAAATATCTTGCGCAACTTACAGTGTAAAATATTTCCTTTCTCAATAAGTAATTTGTTTGATAAAATGTGTATGTCTTTAAAATAATATTAAAATGAAATAAATTTGCATTAAAATAGTATTAAAGTTCAAAATGTTAATACCAAAACTAAGTTTCATACTTTATATTATACACTAGTAAAAAAATGTAAAAATTAAATCAATTTCCAAATTTTACACCAGAACATATAAATCCCATAACTTGGTAGTTAAAAATAATTTATTTCTCAAAAAGTAACATACTTTTTTAAAACCAATGTTTGCTAGTTTTTTTTAAATGATATCAAAATAAATAATAAAGATGCATTAGAAATAAATAATATTAAATTTGCATTGAAACGATTATTAAAATAAAATGAATACCAAAGCACATCCATCATTTTCAATGTGAAAAGTCAACTTCAAATATTTCTTTTATTAATATTAAATATCTCGAAACCCGCCAGAAATTAACTTTAATAAATCCTCCATGAAAATATAATGCATAAATTTATATTTACAAATAAAACAAATTTGAAAAACATTATACTATAAAATATTATTTAATAAAACCAAAAAGTTCTTAAGTTTAGAGAAAGAATAAAAAAAATTTATATGAAATCTGAAATTCTGCAAGGTTAGAAAAAAAAAAAAAAGCTTTCTACAGTAATGTTAAGTATATGCTAGAAATAGTCACATTAACAACGCGGCCTAAATTAAAATAAATAAATAAAAATGGAAATTTGAAAACTATACAGAGTCAAAAAATAATTTTTAGGAACTTGTGCAATTGTAGCACAGTGCCTAAAAATCAATGCTATCATTTTCTAAAGTAAAACTTAAAATTACAAGTTTGGGCATAAATAATTTTAAAACAGCGCTAAACTAATTAAATATCATTAACTTGAATTTAGATTAAATGCAATTTGCAAATAATAAAACAATTTCAAAATTTAACTATTAAAATATCTTGCAACAAACGAAAATTTCAAAACATTTTATTTAAAAATAAAACTAGCCATGAAACTTTANCAATTGTAGCACAGGGCCTAAAAATCAATGCTATCATTTTCTAAAGTAAAACTTAAAATAACAAGTTTGGGCATAAATAATTTTAAAGCAGCGCTAAACTAATTAAACATCATTAACTTGAATTTAGATTAAATGCAATTTGCAAATAATAAAACAATTTCAAAATTTAACTATTAATAAAATTAACATAAAAGAATGAGATTTTTCTTACAATTTCAAATTCCATAATATTTCGTTATTATTAATTTTATATTTTAAATATTTAATGAATTTTAGCAAGAAAAATGCAAGCGATATTAAAGTATCAAAAAATTTCTATTTAATTCAAATAACATTATAAATTTCATGTTTTAAGCATTTTGTTTAAATTTAAGAGAAAAAATGAACGATTTCTATTAAATTCTATAAATTTGATGTTTAATGTTAGCAAAAAAATCGATTAAATATAAATGATATTAAATTTCCAATTGATTTCTTTTAAATTCGAAAAATATTATACATCTTATGTGTTAAATATTTAACTAAATGCTTACAAAAAATGAATAAAATGCAAGCGACACTAAGTTAGCAAACGATTTTTATCAAATTCTATTAAGAACTTATACTCACTGGAGTCATGTTTCTGGGAGAAGCTTTCTATGGTCTGTCACAGTTGTTATTGAGTTCGGAGGGTTCGCACCAATAAATAAGAGAAGATTATGGGGGTGGGGGAGAGGAAATATAAGGGGAGATTCCTCGTTTGAGGTCATATAGCTCCTCCTTTTTTGCTTTCGTAAAAAAATAAATTCCTTTAAAATTGATATTTTTTTAGCTTAAAAAAATAAAAATGAAGGATAGTTGGATTTCATTATGTATTACAACATCGAAAGATTGATAAAATTCTGACTAAATCAGTCAAGATAACAAATTTATTTTTCTTATTTTTCATAAAATCCGTCTGTGTTTCCCCCTTCTCTGTCTGTTTTCTTTCGAAGTCCAATCACATGTTTTTTCAAGGTCACAAGACACCGAGGGCGAAGAACGGAACTTTCTTATTATTTTTTTTTATTATCTTAAGTTATTATCAAACTATCCCAGCTTTCGCCGTTTCTTATTCCTTCCAGGTAAGTGTTACTCTTCACATTTTTTTTTCTTCTCCGCACCCTCAGAACCTTATTTTAGAATCTCCGTTTTGAATTTGACATTGATCTTGTAAAAATCGGGTTCATAAAGTGAAGGCTGTTGCATTGTCAAGATTAAAAGAGCCGACGAACCCCCTATGAGCATATATTTATGTGAATGCTCAAAGTTTCTCCATATGGTCATGCATTTAGTACACCTTAGACACCAGTAGCATGATTTGCCGATGTTAAATATCACGATATAAACATTTTAATACCATCACGGTATGTCTTGAATATAATGATTTACGATGAGTATCGGACATATGCTAATTATCGTCAATCATAATATTAGGATTATTATCGAAAGCGGTAAATGTTGAGCACAATAATATACTATAATATCGTGAATATTACGATAATTATTGAATTCGATAATTATAAGATAAATAGTATTACTTAAATATCGCAATAACTGTATTTTAAAAACTTTTCTCACAAAATATCGCGAATGACGAATAAATCGAATGTCGATGAATATCGACATTCGATTCAATATTAAAAGTACGGAGAAGTTATGAGCTGTCATACAATCTATAAGGAGCTAATTATCGACAACTTTATTATTGCGATCATTATCGCGAACTACATGTGTTGAATATTATAATATCGTAAGTGCTATCGATTACGATAATTCTCGAATACGATAATTAAGGGCGAAACATATTCGGTTTATCTTTGTATCAGGAGTGATCGATATTACTTAAATATCATATAATGATATATCAGAATATATTTCATTATATACCTTCAATAACTATGATTCACGATGAATGATCAACATACATTTACAATATTATGATCATTTGTGACAACGATAAATATTGACTACGACAATGTCCCAATTATTAACGATATTATGATAATTATCGGATACGATACGCAAGGGGTAGAAATGGGCGACATATCTCACAGTGTCGATATTATTTAAATATCGTGATAGTGATATGTTAAAAATTCTTTCCTGATACATCGCGATTATTATGATTTGCAACAACTGTGTAAAATAATCGAATTATCGTCAAAAATAAAATGCGATAATTATTTGCAACACTAAATATCGTACACCCAAATCTCGCAAGCTATCCCGATAATCGAATACGATAATTATAGAATATGATAATATGCAAGTATGCACCTTATTTATAACTATCGCATACGATATTCCAGCAAGTATTAATATTTTTTTTCCGGATGATAAAGATGTAGGCTAACGTAAAAATAATGTTTATTTGTTACTTTAAAAAAAATATTGTCATGAGAAATATCAATGTTTTTCTGTCGATATATCACAATATTAAAGTTCTTATATTTCCTAGCACATTTGCAGATTATTGTTGTACACAAAATTAAAAAGTGTACACATTGAATAAATTTTTTACCTACTAATGTAATATCAATCATAGCCCTTTAAACATACAAATTAATGAGTGTGGTTGATAATTGGAATCGGACTACTGACCCTCTGAGCTTCAAACTGGTTATTCCAATATTTTTATTTTATTACCGTCGTTGAACAGCAGACCAAATTTTTCGGGTTTACGACTGCTAATGTTCAACTCAGTAGCCTTGTAATTTTGAACCCAATCCAGAAGACAAGAGAACTCCTGGATCAAGCATTGGGATAAATTTACCTTCGTGGAAGACTTTTTGATGGAACTCACCCGCATTTGCGTTACATGGAGAGGAAAACCACGAAAACCTCCAAAGGTTAGCCTGACGGCAAGGGGACTGTAACCCAAGATTCGTCTACCACTGAGGATATTTTTACGTCAGCACTGTGTTCGGTGCAAGCCGGATGCGGAATTCGTATCGACCTGACATCGCTGGGATTCGAACCCGATTCACCACATTGGAAGGCGAGCGCTCTATCCCCTGAGCCATCGCGATTCGTATTCCAATATTAAGGTCAGTAAGGTTAGAATGCAAAACGTTTAAACCTCATAATGTCTCATGAGCTATTTGCTTAAGTTGTCAAAACTTTTTGCACAAAATTAACAAAAATTTTTTTAATTTAATATTCCGCTATTATACGTTTATTTAATATTTGTTAATTTAATATCATTTGAAACAAATAAAAATTTTAATTTTTGGACGGAAACAGGCGAATAGTTCCTGAGAAAGAAAGAAAAATCTATAACTGCGATTGATTAAAATTTTTTTTAAAATTTATTCATAAACTATTTAACTGATTTCTATCAAATATCTAATTTTACATAGCTTAAAATGATGTATACATTTTGTATGCTGTAAACACTTGGTAACAATCATGATTGTGCTATATGTATCTACTCCTAGCAACTGATTAGAATCGAGAAAATTCTGAAACTTTTATTTTAATGTTTCCATGGACTTGAAATCAAAACTTTGTCTTTGTTTCACAATCCATCTGGAATAAAAAAAAATCATGCGAAGAATTGTAAAAGTTATGTTATCGTTATAAATAAAATTGAAATTGTGAAATATTTTGGGGGGTTGAATAAACTTCTATGAAATCACATGAAGCGCGGCAAGTGAACTGATAATAAAAAAATAAACTGATAAATAATGTGTGTCTGTATTCCGATCTTTATAAGTCAGGGGGTCATTAACTGTGACGTTAACTAACCGATAAGATGACATTCTTTTGATATTATATTTATAAGATAGATAACTCTGCTTATGTAATCTAGGGGAGTGCGGGGGCACCTGTCAAGTTATCTTCAAAAGTTATTGCTCCTCTTCATTTTCTTTTAATACGTTATGTTAGAGAGTTTTATTTTTCCTTTAAAATCATGCATATTTTCCTTCGAGACAAATTTTTGCGCTATACCATGTTATTGTTAGATGCAAGCAAATAAACGGACCACCCTGAATAACTTTTGAGCGAATGAGCGGATCTTCTCAATCTAGAATTCAATCTTAATGGTTCGAGGGAGCGATCTCAAATATACTAATTATTACGATATTTTAATTATTACAATATTTACGCAGACGATATTTTAAGTTACGAAATCAGACACAAAAGCGTACTTTCTCTGAATAAACATGCCTTTTTTTTCGACGGGTTAGAATTTCTGACCTCCAAGGTAATGGGGGTGGCCGCAATCGGGAAAATAGGATCCGAATAATTTCACAACTATCTGACCTCTGCCCTCAGTGCCAGCTGGTTGTTTATAAACAAAATGTATAATTAATATTCTGTAATATTGTTGCATTAGGTCTATCTAAGTTTCTCCTTAAAAGTTAGAATACTTATTAACATGAAGTTTATTAAATGCAAGGCTGAGCTATGGTGGCTCCGGAGATAGAACGTTCGCCTCCCAATCAGATGACCCGGGTTCGAATCCGTGCGGTATTTGGTTGAGACGATTTCAGCTCCCAGCTCTCACCGACGTAAAATATCCTTAGCGGTAGCGGGTCATGGGTAAGAATCCACTTGCCGTCGTGCTAACTGTGGGAGGTTTTCCTCTCCGCGTAACACAAATGGATGTTGGTTAAAAAGTCCTCCACGAAGGTTAGGCTATCCACCAGGTTATCCCGGCCTCCCAATCCTTGATCCGGAGGCCGAGAATACCTGGTTGGTAAGGCACTAGCTCCATGTCCACGAGGTCGTGGGTTCAATCCCTGCTGGCCAAAGACTTCCCGTGTAGTACATAATTGGTGACTGATGTATGTTAAATGTGTCGAGTCACAAAGTCCTCCATGTTCCCATAACAAATCATACCTCTGGATACTGATCCAGGATTTTCCTTGTCTTTTGGATTGGTTCAAAATTACAAAGCTACGAAGTTGAGCATTAGTAGTCGTAAACCCACAATTGAGTCGGTTGTCCAACGACGGTTATAAAATAAAATAAAATCCTTCATCCAGGAGTTCCATTGTCTTCTGGGTTAGGTTCAAAATTAAGAAGTCACGGAGTTGAACACTGATAGTCGTAAGTTCAGGATTAGTGTTGGCTGCTCAACGCCGGTTACAAAGTAAAATAAAATATGACACTGTATCGCGTATCGAATTAGTTACAAATATAATTCTTACTTAATCTATAATTATTATTTGTTTACGCCGGCCAGGTGGCTGAGCGGAAAGCGTGCTTGATTGTGAAGACAATGGTTGCGGGTTCGAATCCCGCTTAGGGCATGGATGTTTCTCTCTGGTTGTTGTTCTCTGCTGTGTGATGTGTGAATGCGGCCCACCACATAAACGGGTATTCATTGTGGCCTTGGGTAATGTTGCTCGCCTCTATGACTTCTTACGTTACGCAACACTTCCGGCATCTTCCGAGGGGAAGAACGGAAGTTAGAAAAAAAATTTATTTGTTTATGTAGCTAGGTAGGTACTTTATAAACTTTGCACTAGAGTTGCGAAATGAGCCATTGGCGACGGTCTAGGAAACATCCCTCAGAATGATCCGAAGACATGCGATCACAATTTTGATCCTCTGCAGAGGGGATGGCTCCCCTGCTTTGGTAGCCCGACGGTCTGCGCGCGAAGTCGAGCACTTTACGGTAGAACAGTTTAACGAGGACTGATACAGCGCACCCTCGGTCCCTACGCAGGCTGATCAAAGCGGTCACCCACCCGCACACTGACCGCAGCCAGTGATGCTTGACTTACTGGGAACGGCTTCTTTACGATCTGCGGGACTTTTGTTTGTGTAATTTATTGTAACCCAGCGATCTGAAATGAACTGAGTCCAGAGGATGGATAAGCAACAGAATATTATTGAAATAAACTGCAGATGTGTAAAAACTGGAAGTATTAAAAAAGACGAGAAATAATTGATCGAATCGAGTTCGCGAAACAATCTAAATGAACTGAGTTTTAAGAGTTGGCCAGCGAAACAGCTGATAATGAAGATCGAAAGCATTTTGAGTTTCTTATGGTATGAAAAGTTTCACAATATTTAATTATTTTTTTAAATGATAGAATTAAAAATTTGATGCATCGTGGTCAAACAGTTTTTGTGCTATTGAACTTTAACAAAAAAGTAGTATTTTAAAATTTTAGTACCATTTTACCGATTCCATTTTAATTTTTGATATAGTCGATTAAAATTAATTAGTCTTTAAGTTATTTCAAATAATCTAGTGAGATATAACATAATTTTGTTTCTTTGTATTTTTAGGTAAAGCAATGTCTTTTAGGACTTCTCTAGACAAGTCGCCTATCGTTTGGCGACACGTTCACAACTTTCTTAAGAAGCAATCTCGCAAAAAGTAAGAAATGTGATTCTTCCTTTTAATTACAAATGGTGATAGAAATTACTTCTGTATTACCTCCACATTTTTACCCTTTTTTTAATAGTTAAGTTTTTTTCATTAATTGGTTACTTTGTGACCAATTAACGAGAAAAAAAAACCTTGATTTCATGTTAAGAATGAGACAGATATAAAGAGTTATTCACAGAAAAGATTTACGGTTCTAAAGAACTCATTTATTTATCAAAGAATGCGTTTATATTTTCTTTACACTCTTATTCATGTAAGTAGGATAAATTCCTGGTGGACGAAGTACTGGAAGGCCATTTTCATAATTTTTTCGGAATGAAATTGTTTTCGTTCTAAAAAGGTGTCCAAATTTTTAAAAAATTGTTAAGCGGTGGGAGCTAGATCTAGTGAGTGTGGAGGGTGATGAAAAAGTACCGACCTTGCAGCGTGATTTCATACTTGAATTAAGGTATTTTATCATTTCCTGTGTGCAATCGGCCTGAATTGTCCAGTGGCAATTTCATACCTTCTGATTCCAACGAGTGTATTGCACGATCATGAGGGCGTATTACAATTGTTGAATGCTTATTTGTTTTGCATTGATACAATAAAATCGGTCCAGTAAATCTAGAGATAATCGACCGAGTCTGCAAATTCTCTTCATTTCTAATAACTGAAGAAATTTGTTATATTATATTATGTTTTTAAATAAAAATTTAAAGCTTAGTTTTCACTATCTCCCTCCCCTAACAAAGAATTTTTAGGCCCTCTTCAAGTGACCTAGATACTATATTTTCGATGAGATTAACAATTTTTTACATATATATATATATATTAGGTGACCATGCTGTACACAGTGACGTTTCATCGACTTGAAATTTTAAATTCCGAAAAAAGTCGAGTTACACTAAGGAATTAATTAATACGCAAGACCATTCGAATAGCTCAACAACTAAAAATGACACACTTCGACCTACTAAGATAGGTCATAGTGTAACAATCAACTAGACAAATAATGTTAGCTCTTAGAACAATAATGCAAATAAATAAGTTAAGATGTCCATCTTGATTATCGATGTCAATACACTTAGCGTCACGTTTCGAATAACCAAACGATTTTGACCTTTAATTCTCTTTTTCCCTCTTGCAGAAAATAAGTCAAAATATTTTTTAAATCATCTGAAATAACGGAAAAAATATAGATAAAAATGTTTTTAATGTAAAAAATAAGAGGCTCGATAAATTGTTGATAAGTACTTAACAATTGAAGTTAAGAAATATATTTGCGTCATTCACAGCTTTTTTTGTTTGTTTTCTCTCTCGATGTTTCATGTCTTTTTCTTCTTAATATTTGATAAGAGTTTATTCAGCTTATTTTGCAATCCCCATAAAGAAAATTTCAACACGTGAGCTTGAACTATAGCACTGTGCATTCAGTAGTCAAAGTAACAGTTTAAGAACAAATGAAACAAAAATATTATTCTTTTTTTTTTTTAAATTAAGAAATAAATATTCAATGTAAAAAGAAAAACAGTTTAATATAAATGGACAATTACAAAAATTATTGTTTATATTTTTAAATATTAAAATATTGTTTCTGAACCTTTAATGTTTGCTTCAGTAGTTATATTAAGTTTCGAATATCTCAGAGAAAAAATAGACGCAATACACCTTTATTTTGTGAAAAAAAGTAAAAAAGCTTTGTTTAAAAGTTAACTATCCCTGAATAACTTTTGGTCTAATAATCGAGTTTCAATATACTGTGACTCAATTTTAATGTGTTTGAGGGCCTAATCTTAAATGGTTGCGGTCAGTGTGCTGGTGAGTGAGCACTTGGATCAGTCTGCGTAGGGACCGAGGGTGTGCGGTATGGGTCCTCGTTAAACTGTTCTACCGTAAAGTGCTCGACTTCGCGTGCAGGTCGTCGGGCTACCGAAGCGGGGGTGCCATCCCCTCTGTAGAGGATCAAAATTGTGATGGCATGTCTTCGGATCATCCTCAGGGATGTATCCCAGACCGTCGCCAATAGCCCATTGTGCAGCTCTAGTGCGACGTAAATGAACAACAGCAACTTAAATATGATAAATAATTTGTGCAGACGATAGTTTAAGTTACGAAACCAAACTTAAAGGTAGGTAGGTAAGTACTTTACGTCACAGTAGAGCTGCACAATAGATTATTGGCACTGGTCTGGGAAACATCCTTGAGGATGATCCGCAATTTTGATTTTCTGCAGAGGGGATCGCTTCCCTGCTTCGGTAGCTCGACGACCTGCGCGTGAAGTCGAGCACTTTACAGTAACCCTCGGTCCCTACGCAGGCTGATCAAAGTGGTCACCCACCTTCTAACTGACAGCAGAAAGCCAGTGATGTTCTACTATGAACCGTGTCTTTACGATCAGTCTGTCCACTACGGGCACAAAGATGTACCTTTTCTGAATAAATGTATTTTTTTCGATGGATTTTACGCGGCGTATGTGAACTGTAAGAATTTTTTTTATTGATTTTTAACACAAAATATGGTGTAGTGAAATATTAAGAATAGTTTCTTGACTAAATAAACACCTCAAAACTTTTATTTCAATTCTTCTTGGGAAAAGTAGCTGCAGCCATTTTTGCTATATTCTAACGCCAATATTTATGATTAAAAAAAAACGATACTGGCCGAGGTAGCCTGGTTGGTTGAACTCGTGTTCGTGAGAACGTGAGTTTGAATCCCCCCGACAGAAGAGTCCCCATGTATTTAAATGGTAACTGGAGCACGTTAAATCTGCCGAGGTCACAGAGTCCTCCAAGTTCTCATAACATGTGCCTAATCACATGATTGTGCGCGAAGTGTTACCGATGCAGCTATGAAGCTTGGCTTATTATCAAGATGAGTCAAATTTTGGATGAGATTTAATTGGATTGCAGGTGACGTCACGCGTGCGCGTCAAATCTGAAGAGCACCTGAATTGTGACATAAGCATATGCAACGGGTAACGTCACTTGTACGTATCCAATTTATAGAAAGGAGCTGTCGGGACTCAGGACGCCTTCCAATGAGGTGAGCCGGGTTCGAATCCCAGTGATTGGTGGTCGATACGAATTCCGCAGCCAGCTCGCACCGACCACAGTGTTGACATAAAACATCCTCAGTGGTAGAGGGATCATGGGTTAGAGTCCCTTTGCCGTCAGGCTGATCGTAGGAGATTTTAGTGGTTTTCCACTCCATGTAACACAAATGTTCTACCGAAAAGTCCGCCTCGAAGGCTAATTTCTCCCAATACTTGAACCAGGAGTTTTCTGAATTAGGTTCAAACTTACAGGGCTGCGGAGTTGAACATTGGTAGTCGTAAACCCAAAAATTAGGTCAACTGTTCAATGACGGTCATAAAATTAAATTTGTTTAGAGAACTATTAATTTAATTATTCTATTCAACGATTCTTGAAATAAAATCAACCCTATGGAGTATTACAAAAAGGATATTGGAACAAATTCTACTTCATAGAACCATAAATCATTGATAGATTTATATAAATCTTCGAATGATAACATCTTTATCATACATGCATGAATTTTGTAACAGTGTTTTTGTAAATTGTTTAACTGCGTGAATGATGACAACAAACCTCTTCTGATGCTAGATTGCAAACTAAAGTTGCATCGTAGTAATTCATTGTGATCTTAAGGTTTCGAAACGCAGCCGAAAATATCGTTTTTGGTGTGAATAATATGAATGCGTGTCAGCTGGGTGTAAACATTCTCCATATTATTGTGCAGATAGACTCTTTAAAGTGAATATGAAAGATAGATTCATTCACAAAATATTTTTATCAACACCAAATTCGCACAACACAGTTTTTACAGTGTTAATAACACTACGTGATATTGCAAAATCATTCCAGCAACGTCTGATAATGTTTTTATCACCTTAATCCTTTCCTTAAATTGTGTTTTTTAATAGGTTTTACTTTTGCCTTTTAATTTGTTTCAAATGGGTTTTTGCCTTAACCTCATTAACTGTCAATTTTTTTTTAAAAAAAACAATCCACAATCTTTTAAACTTGTTCTTAATTTGTGTAATTTACCATGAATACCAACTTTAGCATATTTTATTCTTAATTATCTATAACATTTACAGGCTTTTATCATTAACTTTTATATTTTTTTTCAAACTCTAAGACTTGTTCTTGTATAATTTACCATATGTTCAACTTTTATTATTAATTATGTGTAGCATTTACAGATTATTATTACGTTTTATCTACAACCCTTGCTGTATTTTATCATCTCGCTCATGGGCTGTAATAGTGGCACAACTAAAAAAACACGCGTTTTGGACTAAGAATAGATGTAAATATGAAAATACACATTCTTTCAGCAGCAATACTTGCTCAACTCATAATTCAACTTGAAGGTAATCTCCGTTTAAGCATACGAAAGCATTTCGTATGCATTTTCCTTAGCAATGAAAACTTTAAACCCACTTATCTAAAAACTTGATTTTTTGAGCTGCGCCGATCTTATTACTCAGTTTATATACATTATTTACTAGGAACATGTTGGTATTCTAAATTTTTAATTGTGCAATATGAATCTTTCACTATTGCACACTTTATTTTATATTTAAATTGCATATTATTATTGCTTAGCATCCGCATTTTATTTTGCCCTTCTTTTTAAGTCTTGCTGTTCCTTATATACCTAAAGATATCCTTCCCCAAATTTATATTTACTCTATTTTGTAAGCATCCTTTGTAAATCGCAACCATCTCTGGGGACCCATCTCCCAGTTTAAAGAGATCTCTAATTCTTGTTAATTGGACGGAGAAACCACCTGCCTCTGGACAATTTGGTTGAAATAGTGTTTGAAGGGACACTTTCCTCCTTTAATTTAAACCCCGTTTTAGATGTTTAGCTTACCACATATTAGTGTAAACCTTATTTATTATTGTTCAAAATAGTTATTATACTTTCCGTATACAGTTTATTATTTTTTTATTTGTCACCACATAACTAAGTTTTGAAAACTTGATTTTCAAATCATTAAATTTAATCTAAAATAAAACCCCTCATTGTATTTTATTTTATAAACCGTCGTTGAACAGCCGACCCAACATTTTGGGTTTAGGACTACTAATATTCAACTCCGTCACCTTGTCATTTTGAACTCAATCCAGAAGACAAGGAAACTCCTGAATCAAGTATTGGGAGAAATTTGTCTTCGTGGAGGACTTTTTGATGAAACTAATCCATATTCGCACTACATGGAGAGAAAAACCACGAAAGCCTCCCACGGTTAGTCTGTCGGCAAGGGGACTCTAACCCATGATCCGACTACCACTGTGGATATTTTACGTCGGCACTGTGGTTGGTGCAAGCCGGGTCCGGAATCGACGCTGGCTGGAATTCGAACTCTATTCACCTTTTTCGAAGGCGAGCTCTATCCCCATGGCCAGTGTTTCCCAAAGTGTGGTACGCGTACCCCCAGGGGTACGGGAACAGTTTAGTAGGGTACGCGTTCTTATGCGAAATACCTTGCAAGAAACAAAAATTCAAAAAAATTTTATTTAAAAACAAACGTAGCCATGAAAATTTACGATTACGTATTTTTATATTGGCTAATTTTGCGAAGTTAACAGTTGATAATTAGTCGTGTCAACAGCCAATTGTGATTTTTAACTTTTGTGAATTTCTTTATAGTAAAAAATACATTCATGTTTTCATTAGTGATACACGGCGTTACTAAAAATTTAGAAAGGGTACACAAAAGTCATAAGTTTGATCAACACTGTCCTAGGCCATCACTGCTCCCAGACAACGTATTGCATTAATTTAAGTAAAGTGTTGAGCTTTGTATTAAGATTATTCTTGATTTTTCTTTTAGTTCAGCTGCTGAAAAAGCATGTCCTGAAAATGCTAGTATTGTGATTGTGGGGGGAGGAGCTGTGGGCACAAGCATAGCCTATCATCTCTCCAAACTTGGAATGAAAAATGTTCTTCTTTTGGAGAAGTCAGAACTTACTGCGGGGTCCACATGGCATGCGGTATGTACTCTGCACGATTTAAAAACTTATTTATTAAATAAAAATAACTATACAAAAAGAGTCCACCCAAAATTATAAGGAAAATTGATCATAATTAATATGGAGTATGTCACAAAACTAAACAATAATACAAGCAGATAAATTACGAAGGAAATGCATACTAACCATATTAGAACATATTTCTGTGGTGATGTATTTAAAACAACTAATTGAATTATTACATCATCCGCATTTATTAAAGAAACTGTTTTGCAATAAGATGTTTTTTTATTTTATTAATTTGCAGTTTTTAATCCCGATTATTACTATGTTTAAGCAGAATATATAGTATAATTTATCAATCATTTTATAATTTATTGCCAGCAATATTAAAAATGGCAAAACAATGCTGCAGAAAAGCGTCAAAGTAACATTAAAAAAGAAAAAAACAAATTTGAAAGTTTCATAATAAAAAAAAATGGTGATTGCCTGAAGGCGATCACAGGTTACCCGTTGGTAAATGGTTGTGATCTAATTTTTTATTTTTTTTACAAGAAACTTTGTTATGTTTTCATCTTGGACATCTTTAACTGTTAATCCTGAACTGCTCGGTACACAATTTCGCAGACATATTTAAATGCAGCTCAATCACATTCTATGTGAATTCTTTTGATGACTGAATAGACATTGAACAGCCAATCGAGATCGGTATTAAAATTTTCGGATGGTTACAATAGTGTTTGATGGAGATTGTAAGCTGCATCATACACTGCATTCACAAGTTCATACATGGAATATGATTTGAAAGCTAGGCTTTTTTACAATTTTACATGAATAGTGAATGAATCATTTATATTGCGTGGAAGACAGTCTGCGGTCTTGTGCAAGTTGTTGGGTACGTTGACAATGGATCTTTTTATTCATAACAAGTGATCAACATCCAGTTCTCGTATTTACATGAAAGAGGTTCGGAGAGTCACCTTTCGTTCATCGGTAAGGTTCAATTCTCTCAACTATTTTGGTACTTTTGTGATGGAATCATTTCGCTTTTCCGTTTATGTTTAACACTTTAGGTATTCCCGTCTACGTTCTTTGGCTTTTTCAGCCTCGGTAAGTTTAGGCCTTGGCATTGTTTTTTTTCTTGCTTCAACTCTAACTTTTGGGACTGTGTTAATCAGTTCGGACCCTCTTTATTTGTAATATTCACCTGAATTAGTATTGAAAACGACCCAGTTTGAAATGTAGGTTAGAATTTCTGATTCTTAATTAAAACAATGAAAGCAAAAATATCGCTCAAATGATGAAATTCTCTTTTATTCACAATTCAAGAAGTATTTATGGGATCTCTCTGGTCCCATATCTCAAAAATAAACTCATCAACTGAATGCATAGCAAAATTAAAAGTGAAAAAAAGAATTCTAAAAAAATTATCAAACAGCAGCGATCGCCATAGCAACGCATGCGCACTGTTTACTATTACTCTTAATTATTGTAGTTGAAAAGTGAGGACGCCACAAAATCCAAATCAAGATCCATTTTGCCAATTAAAATAAAACAACACAATCCATCCTCAGATAATTTATCCATTGAAATAAATCATTCTTTAATAGTTCATAATCATATATGATAAAACATTACATTCCCTCACAGGATAATGAATATTGTTTGCTCATTAAAACATCACTCAATGGTTGTCAATTATAATAGTAAAACGTCATATTTCATTACATATATTTCATTACATATATTTCATTATGTATGTTGTAGGAGCATTATTGAGAAACTTGCATTGGGTTTAGAATAGCTCTTCGTAAATAGTTAGTTATTCATAAGATTATGGACTTAATTGGTTAATCAAAACCAAATATCACATGAAGGTAAAGCATATTACTGTAACACCACATCTTCGATCGTAAATAGCTGGATTTTTGTTAGTCCAATAATATGATAATTTGTCATCAAGAGAACGTTCCTCAGCATGAAATGATGGAAGTGTGTTGATCCATTTAAACCCGTGAACAGATATTGTAAATTGTTGTGACACAACAGAAGTTTTACTAAAACTTATATAAACTTTCAAAAAGTTAAAACCAAGAATTTTCACTTGAGGAACTTCTTAAATACTTCTGCACTTTTGTCGGAGACTCTTATAAATCGGGAACTATCCAATCATGTTCCAGTTAATAAAGAATTTATTTATAAAGTAATTGTATACATTTTTACATAAAAAAAAAGTATGTTCTCTTTTTTCTTACGATTTCTTTACTTTCGATTCAATTGTATTTCTAAACGTCATGAAAATAATTACTAAAATAGTGTTACAATTAATATTTTCATTCAACAGAAATAATTTGTGCTTTTTCTGTTGTTTTCAGGCTGGTTTAGCAGCTCTATATCATCCAGGCATCAATATGAAGAGAATTCACTATTACAGCATTAATTTGTTTTCGCAATTAGAAGAAGAAACAAAACAGGTAGACTTTTCAATTTCTCAGCTGATTTATCTATTATTAATTCACCATAATGGTTAAGTCTATAGAGTGATTATAAAACAACTATGCAGACATATGACTATGAATCGTAACATATGACTCGTGAGCAAACCGTACTTGAGAACGGAATAACATTTGGCATACAGTTATTATGAGGTAAGCGTTCAAGAAGAGTATTAGAAACGATTATCACTCGGTGAAGATCACAGAATTTTAAAATTACTTTTTATCGAAACGTGATCTTCACCTTAAAAAAAGTTAAAATAGAGATAAATATACAATTTTATCTTACGAGGGTGGTTTTTTGAGTAAGGGCCGTTTTGTTGTGTACACATATAGGTAACGAATGTGTCGCAACGAGTGATTGTGTCGTGTCCCGGCATTCTTTTTATTTTATTTTATATCCGTAGTTGAACAGCCGACCCAGTTTTGGGGTTTACGCCTACTAATGTTCAACTCCGTAACCTAGTAATCTTGAACCAATCCAGAAGAACTCCTGGATCGGTACCCCCAGATGTATGATATTTCTTATGGGAACATGGAGGCCTTTGTGATTGGACAGATTTAACGTGCATCAGNATTAGCCTTGTTATTTTGAACCAATCTAGAAGACAAGGTGATTCCTGGATCAGTACCCCCAGGGATATTGATTTGTTATGGGAACATGGAGGACTTTGCGACTCGTCAGATTTGACGTGCATCAGTCACCATTTACTACACGGGGAGTCTTCGGCCGGTGGGGATCGAACCCACGACCTCTTGGATATGGGCTCAGTGCCCTACCAACCAGACTATCTCGGCCCCGGCATTCTTTGGGAACAAGTGTGCTCAGTTGCAGGTAAACTGTACGGTCAGTTCTGTGTCTTTAAAATGTTCAGATTTAACAAATCGCCCCCACGCCTGTCATACGGTCAGTTTTAGTCAGCAAAAAAACCTGTTTGCTGCATACTTTCACTGGCAGATTTGTGAAGTAGCAAAATTCCCTGCCATGCTAATAAACTCAAAATTTTATAAAATGAGCGTTTTACGTTATGTAATGTAATTTTGTGCAAAGTCACATCGTTGATTGGAATTTAATATGAAAGTTAGATTTCTACTATAAAAGTCAAAGCAAAAAACAAAGCATTGTAAATTTCTTACGTTTGCATGGGAGGGTTTGTGATTTGCTTATTTTTTGCTAATAAGTGGGGAGGGGAGTTTAAAATGCCTACGTAATATTTAAACGGCTCCAAACAATCCATTTTTGCTAAGATTTGTGATAAAACAGCTGCTGACGAGAGTTTTTGTAATTGCAACTGAATTATTTATTTGAAGCTTTTGAGTTACCATCGACCGGGAAGTATACGCCTGGCAACTAACGAAGAACGAATGAAGGAATTCAGATACCAGATGCAGAGGCAAGGATGGCAGAAGGCACCACAGAAACTTATTAATCCTGATGAAATTTATCAGCTGTGTCCTTTTCTGAATATGGAAGGCGTAAGTTCTTTTTTATATTCTCAAATATGCCATTCCTAAGTTCTATATTTTATGAAAATAATTTTTTAAAGCTTTTTTTTTAGCCTTTAATTAATATTTTTTATTATGTTTATATAAGAGTAATTCTGTCTGCGATTTGCTCTAAAAAAAGAACATATATTCATAAAATTAAACGTTAATGGTTGGTTTTATTGCAAAAATGAATTCGACTAATTATTTTTTTCCACTGAAACCGTTTGATTGAATTTATTTTATAACAGTCATTGAACAACCGACCCAATTTTGGGGTTTACGGCTACTAATGCTCAACTTGTGATTTTGAACCAATCCAGAAGACAAGGAAACTCCTGGATCAGTACCCCCAGAGGTATGATTTGTTATGGGAACATGGAGGACTTTGTGACTCGACTGACTTAACATTCATCAGTCACCATTTACTACACGGGGAGTCTTCGGTCGGCATGGACACCAACCAGGCTATCCTGGCCTCATTTGATCGATTTCGATAAAATCGAATGTCCATCATACGCGTACAGCAATCCATTTCTTTGAATGTACCTCTTAAGCTACGCCCATTTCTACAAACACACATTTGTTAATTTTTTTAAGTATGCATTTTGATCTGCATCAAAAATAAAAGTTAATTATTTTCCTATGATTTAAAACAAAAATAAAAACTAGAAAACAGCAGTACAGATCAGATTCATTAGCTGACAACCAGAAATATTTGCTGCTCCTTATTATCTAATTATATTATCGGATTGATTTGGGAGTTTCTATGGATTTCATTAGATGATTGAATATACTGGGTGTTTCTACTGATGTTATTGGATGACTGGATTGTCTCACCTTCCTCTAACATAATTAACAAACCTGATTGCGAAATCAGGTCCGTCATGGAAATATAGATTTAACAAAATCAGAATAAAGCAAAACAACTATAAATCTATAAACAAAAACATTTTTCAAAGAGACAGTTGAAAAGTAACGAGACAAACACGTATAAAGGGATTTAAATAGTAAAGGAACAATAAGCTTGAACAGGATAATAATAAAAGAAACAGTTGTTATTAGAATTCGTGGTTCCCCAGGCCGTAATATGTAGAATTTCAATTAGAATAGAATTCCAACTATTGGGAAAATTGGCTTGCTAGAGAGATCATTGACTAAATTATTGAAAATTTTCAAAATCTGGAATGATTCCCTGAAATCAAGATCGATAAATAAAGAGCAGTATCGACTGGTATGCTCAAAACTATGATTAGAATTACAATTATGTAGGGATAGAAGACCATTTAATATTTTGAGTTTGGGCATATCTTTCATGGTCTTTAAATAAATGTTTAAGGGTATGTTTAATTCCCTAGAAATTTGAGAAGTAATCCATTATTTATATCAGGAGTATTGATCAAATTTCTTATCAAATTGTTTCTCTTCCTCTATTGGTTAAACCAGTTTGCACGTATTTGTCTCGTTGCATTTCTACTGCCATTGAATGTTTAGACACTGAGGATTCTAGTTGATAGAACTGATGTGTTAATATGCCCATTTCTGTATCTTTATTTGAGCCTTATTCGCTTTTTTTTTTATTTATTCTTAAGTAGCACCGTGTATACCCTATTCTCATTCGAATAAAAAAGCACACTCTGGGAAATCCATTCAAACCATTGGAAGACATTGTTGTATAGAAGAACACGAAAACTGTAATTGAGTCATTTTAAGTCATAATTGTATCTAATTATTTTTGTTTCTCTAGATTCTAGGTGGATTGTATAATCCAGCAGATGGCCACATTGATCCTTACTCACTAACCATGGCATATGCTGCCGGTGCTCGGAAGTACGGTAGTACCTTGAGTACTGATACACCAGTCACTGGAATGAAATTACGAGCTGATAGCAGGTGGGAAGTGGAAACAACCAAAGGAACCATTATCGCCGACAAGGTTGTCAATGCTGCTGGTGAGAGATTTAATAATAGACAGTAATGCATAGTTCGATCATTTCTGATAATAAAAATCTATCTAAATGAATCTAAGTTTTGAGTTCCAAATAGGAACCAGTCAAATTATGAGCTCCAAAGAATATTAGTACAAAAATCAATGATTCCAAAAGCCTACTAATTAATCAAAGTTCCAAAAAGTACTAATGAATGAATAATTGAGTTCCAAATGGTCAGTAATCTATCACAGTTCCAAAAAGTACTAATTAAGGAATAATTGAATTCCAAACGTTCAGTAATCTATCATAGTTCCAAAATGGTACTAATATATCATGATTGGCTCATAAAACGTTCTAATCTATCAAAAATTATAAGTTCCAAACTTTTACTAGCCTATTAATTAATAAGTTCCAAACACTTACTAGGCTGATTAATGAAGTTTAGGAACGTACGAAGTCTATCAATCAATAAATTCCAAGACCTTGCTAGTCAATCGTGGTTAGCTCGTAAAGGGTACTAGACTCTCATGATAAGTTTTAAAAGCATAATAATCCGCCACGAATTATAAATTCCAAACTTTCAGCAGTCTATTAATCAATTAGTTACAAGCGCGTGCAAATTTGTTAATAAGTTACTTGCAAAAGACCGAGAGAGCTGAATTAGTGTCACCAGATTTGGAGAGCTGGTGGGGAGAGCTGTAATAAGTTCACCATGTTTTTGAGCGTTTGTCGTGAGATCTGTATTAAGTTCACGACTGTGTGTGTGGTCTCTCCTGTGTTGCTATTTGCAGTCGAGTGTGTGCATGATACCGTTGTGTGTAAATTAGAATGATAAGCAACAGCGCGGTGAGCAGGATGACGCAGTCACAAATATCAAGTTCAATGTGGATCCTGCACAATGTGGGGACAGTAGAAATCGGCAATACCAAACTTCATCTATCGAAAGATACCCAACGATTGAATCGAAGTGAGCATATGTCTTATATACTTGTGAATTGATGTTTTATAATCGTAGTGGTAGTAACACCACGCATTAATATCGTAAGACTTGCATGAGACAATTTTCTCTTTTAAGGTTTCTGGGCTCACGAAATCGGAAGACTATCTGGTGTGGAACTACCTCTTGTGCCCGTACAGCATCAGTACATGGTAACGAAACCCATTCAGCAAATCCAAGATCTCAAAGTAAGACGTCCATTATCTATTAAAATCTAAACCTTAAAAAAGAAATTAATAATAATATTTTTTTTAATGTATGGATGATTGTCCAATGGTAAACAATATCAAATCTTATACTCAATATATTACTTTTATATTGTTATGCATAAAAAACTTCTCATCTTTTTTGAAGCAAGAGCCACCAGTCTTGAGACACTTGGAGGGTTCTTTCTACATGAGAGCTGAAAGAGGTGGACTGCTTGTCGGCCCCTACGAATACTCCCACAAGATGAAAATAATGGAAGACTGGCATACACAAGTTCCTAAAGGTACTTCCTCTTCTCCCTGTCCTTCCTATTTTCTACTACTTCCTCTTCTACTACTTTCTCTACATCTACTTCCTCTTCTACTATTTTCTCTTCGTCATTTTAGACACACTTTACTTCCGCTTTTCTCTTATCATCTACTCTCTGCCCTCCTTATTTCAGAATAAATTTCCCCAATGCGGATACAGACTAACTGAAAATTATGTTTTCAACTTTGACTTGTGTCCAGGTAATGTTGCTTGCATGGCCAAGCAACAATCTATTCTGTTCAATTTTGTTTTCTAACCGGTATTGGTTACCACTTCATTATTTATGTGTAGTTTGTTATCAACGCGTATGATCTACAACGTGAATACTACTCGGGGAATTCTGTGAAATAATTCTCTGTCCAGTGAAAATCTTATAAAACTCTTTTTCCGTTACTAGACAAACGACAAAACAGTAAACACTCTTCGCACTGTCTTAGAAAAAACTTTATTAAAAAAATTTCCCATTCAAAGAATCAAATTTATTCCTAATTATTCTTAATTCTCAGTCAACTGTAACAAAAATTAAGGGACAGAATAAATAAACTATTTTACTAAATTCTTATGGATGGTTGATTGAATATAAACAATAACAAGCCACCTAAAACCGGAAGCAAATTAGAAAACTTCCGGTGTAATCCTCCGCTTATGTTAGGCTTGCGAGGCATTGTGTGAACAGGCTTATTATTCCAGGAAGTTTTATTATTGTAATTCGTGATTAAATTCACTCAAAATTTTACCATTCATAAGAGTTTCCTGCAATTTACAAATTCTAATTGTCAGCATGAAACAAATTTAAGAAAATTAATATCGAAACATATATAAAGCGTAAGGTTTGCCATATTGTGAGTATTATCCCTTAAATGGCTATACTTGTGTAAAATATCACAGTTTGATAATTTTTGGGTTGCATCAAAGCATGTGTGCGAACTCTTCCGAATTCGTTTACTGTATTGTTTCTTTGAAATTTAAATAGAAAGAATGCGTTATATTGTAAGCACTATTAGTATAACGATATTGGATGGAGCGCTTTTTTAAATTTAGACGTAAAAATCAGTTGGAAGTAGTAAACCGGAAGTCTTACGACGAATTTTAACCTCTAGCGCCATCTGTGTTTAGCTTTACACGGTAGATAGTATACAGATTACCTTGAAAATTTGAGAAAGGAATCAATTTTACGGATCGTCCTACGTAATCTGTAGAGAAACTGATTTTTGCACTTTTGTGGTAACATAAACCCTTTCTTTTGTAGGTTTCGGTAAAGAGCTTTACCAACCTGATCTCGATAGACTGTCAGATCATTTAGAAGTTGCAATGGATTTGGTACCACTGATACGAGACACTAGCATCCAGACAGTTGTCAATGGTCCTATCATGTACACACCCGATCTTTTGCCTCTGCTAGGTCCATTCTATGGACTGCCAAACATGTGGATGGCCGTAGGTTTTGGGTAATTTGAATTCAATGTATAACTCATAGACGTTCTAACTGATCTTATACACTGTATAAAAGATATTAGCTTGGATAACTTTTATTCTACTGATTGGATTTCCTCAGTGTCTGGCATTTGGTGATTTAAAAACTTCATTCCCTTCCAAATATTGAAGTATTCGAAAAGATTTGAATTTAATAATCTACTTTCATTAAAATAAAATAAAATCTTTGCATATTATTAGAACGGAGTTATATAACAAGAAGTGCATTCAAGGTGCTTCTCCCTTTAAAAAATTTTAAAGAGAAACGATAGAAGATAGAAATGCACGACTTGCTGTGTTCTTAAGGAAACCATGCATAATAATATTCACCAAGTTTCAAAATTTGTCATAAATATTCCCGAAAGAGAGCGCTGATGACTGAGACAAGTCATAAAAACAACGTTCGTAAAACAATCATCATTTACAGCAATGATGTGCTTTTATACTTGAAAAAAAAAACACCATTTAAGCTGAAATGGTCCAACATGACACAGGTTTTTCCACCCAACTGTTGAAAAACTTTATACCTAATTTCAATATGTGGGAAAATAAATATTTTTTTCCTAAAGTGAACAGTACGATCGTTGTAAAATGCGAAGAAGATAAAGTGATATTTTTAATGTAGTTTTTAATTTTAGGTAGAGCTATGCTTTTGGAAGCTCATTTATAAATCATCCTTCCCGATCTCAAGATTCGAATACGCCATCTGGACAGAAGACCAGTTCCATGTCTTGACCCTAACATCTCCCCCTTTGCTCAGATGAATGGGAATCTTTTGCAAAATTTTCGCCTGCCATAATATTTTTCGCATTTAATTGTCAAAAATATATTGTAAAATTTCCAAGACGTTTTCTTTAAGAACAATGTTTAGTGCAGTTTTGAGTTCCATATTCGCGATCGCAACACCCGAATATGCCACTTGGGAAGATGTATTATGATATTTTCCACTTTTTTTAATATTTTCTGGTATTTAATTATCCCAAATATTTTTTTAAATTTTCATGGCGCTTTCCTCTGGAACTAAGTTCAGTATAGTTTTCAGTTCTATAGTTTCCTGACTGAAAAGTTTTTAATCTATTTGAAAAACTTAGACAGAAACTAACGTACTTCCTTCTCCTATGATCCTCCACACGCTAATGGAGAAAGCACGCGAAGTGTTGCCATAGGTAGAAAGTTCTGCTCTAAGTCACATCTAGTCCATTTAGATCGCCAATAGTTTCCCAACTAAAAAAAATTATCTGTTTGAAAATTAAGACAGAAACTACCGATTTCCTGCTCTTATGACATCCACACGCTAATGGTGAAAACATGCGAAGCATAGGAAAAGACTTCTGCTTGGCGCCATCTGTAGTCCATTTCAATCACCAATATAAAGAATTCAATTCTTTTTCAGATACGGAATAATACATTCTGGAGGGGCAGGTAGATATCTCGCCGAATGGCTACTGAAAGGAGAACCACCCTACGATTTAATAGAGACAGATCCAAACAGATTCGGAAAGTGGACCACAAAGTAAGTGTATGCTTTTTTGCTTTATATCCATATTTTGGTGAATATTCTGTTAAGCCAATAACATTCTTATAGTTGGCTAAAATTTCATTGATATGTGTGAGTCAGGTTAATTGTATTTGCGATGTTATGCCACAGTCCCTGTATCTAACTTATCTAGACAGTTACGACATATGAGTAACAACCTGTGATTGGCTAAAAGCTAAAATGAATCTAAAAAATAATGAAGCAAACACTTCCTCAAAGACCTTCATCATCGAAGACGGCGACGATGTATTTTGATTCTGCTAAATCTAAAAAAAATTATAAATTGTATTTTCTTTCTTTGGTTTAAGATAATTTTAAACATTCTGTAGGTTGTCTAAGCATGGAACTCCTCCCGCCACAAAGTCTGAGGCCGTCTGGTGCTATTGAAACAAGAATGGCGCATTTTATGGAGGGTGGCTTCACTCTAGGACTCACACAGTAGATCAAAGAAAGAGATACCTTTCTCTCGTTGACCCGAATACTCCAAAACAGTGACCCCTCACCCCTTACTTGAAATAGTCATACCTCGTTACCATAGTCACAGCCACAGGTCCAGACGAATGTCTGGGGGAGTTCTTATTTGAGACAAACTATAGGTATGATTCAAACGCGAAAAAAATCGTACGAATTTTTGTTTATAAAATTTCTGAAAGCTCATGAGTCATTAAGCAATTTAAGGAAATGAATATCACGACGTTTAGTTTGCATTAGTTAGAAGTTATAGTTAGAAGTCTGCTATGTTTTGAATGTTATCGTCAGTTTTTTTTCATGATCCAGCTAGAGTTAAATGACTTTATAAATTGCATAGAAAGTTGTAATAACGATTAACGGTAAGTAAATCCTTTTTTAAGCTTAGGCGTAAAATAAAATAATTCAGAAGTAGTTACTTGGAAGTTTTATTACGAATTTCAGCCGCTAGTCACAGACGGTTACTACAGTTATCCAATCATTCTATACGTAGAGTTAGAAAAATAAGTCTGCGAACAACTGCACCAAGGTATGACAACTCAAGTACGTTCGATACAGTGATTCAAGGTCATGGTTATAGTTATTATCCATTGGCAAAATGGATGTTGCTTTGTGTTTGATAGCTTGTGCACCTTATTTTCCTTTCGGCGATCACAATTTTTTAAAACTTGTTTTGTTTTACATTTTTTGTTGTTGCAGAGAGTATGTGTTTTCAAAATCCCGAGAGACATATGGGATGAACAACAGTTATACTTATCCGAAAGAAGAGAGATCCGCTGGTCGCCCAACATCTCGTGTATCCGGTGCCTACAAGAGAATGGTTGAGAGAGGAGCTCAAATGTCCTTTCACTCTGGTAACACAATCTTCTGCACTTTCAATCTGGTAACACAATCTTTTGCACTTTCAATCTGGTGACACAATCTTTTGCACTTTCAATCTGGTGACACAATCTTCTGTACTTTCAATCTGGTAACACAATCTTCTGCACTTTCACTCTGATAACTCACAATCTTCGGCACTTTCTATCTACACACAATTAAAGTCTCTTAATTTTCGACCGGATTCACTTGAAGGAAAACTGATGAGTTTCTATTTACTGTCCTTGACCAAATTATTAGACGCATTATAAGATTCTATGTAGAATCTTAATTATCACGTGATAAACAGCTTTATTGTTTTTAAGCGACTGTTTGCACTTGCTTACGTTGGTGTATCAATGGGTTAAATTAAACGGTATATAATATACACCGAAGAGCCATTATATTATAACCACCCTCCATCTATAACAATGGGCTCGCCCAGGTCTTCATGGCTTCTCGCCCAGGAACAATGTTTTCATGGGGCACATTAGGACCCATAATCCTCATAGAACAATCCCTGACGTCTCTAAGCTACTTGAACATACTTGCAGACCAGGTTCACCCCATTCATGGCAACAGTTTTTTCTGCGGGGGATGGTGTTTGCGAACAGGATAATGCACCATGTCATAAGGGTCGAATCGTCGAGGAACATTCCAGTGACTTTCAAGTCATGTCTTGGCATTCAAATTCACCTGACCATAATCCAATAGAGCATTTGTGGTCCTACGTGGAAAACCAAATTCGTGCTGCCACGCTACCCCCTCGCAATGTGAGGGAATTGCAGAATCAGTTGGTGAGCGCTTGGTACCAGATACCTCAGACTACCTATCAGCACCTTGTGGAATCAATGCCACGGCGGGTGCTAGCAGTTTTGAGGGCTAAAGTTGGTCCTACATGTTATTAGCAGGGTGGTCATAATGTAATGGCTCTTCGGTGTAAATTTGACGATATATTACATAAACATACAATATTTATTATATCAGGTATTATATTAGTATATATTAATAATTAGACCAATTTATTAGACGCATTGTAGTTTTTAATAATTGCATGTTTTGCACGAGCTTATGTGCAATACTTTTATGTTTAAACATACATGTAATGGGTTGTTATTCAGGAGATTTTTAATATACTTCCCATTTGTATTTATTTTTAACGTATTGCATTACAATGTTAATCAATCGATACACGAACATAAACAAGTGCAAACCGGTTTCATCCGAGTAAAAACAATAAAGCTGTATAGAGTATCACCTGATAATTAAGATTTTACATAGAATCTTAGAGTGAGTCTGATAATTTGGCCAATGACTGTAGAAGATGACCAATCATCATCGCTTTAGTAAAAATATTCATTTTATGTTGTTTCCAATCCTAGCTAAACCGATTCCCGAAACTTGTTAAACTTATAAACACAGAAGAGGCTTTGAAAAGAAGCTTAAAATCAACACAGTTAATGCAAATGCATTCTGTCCCAGTGCATATGACTCGTATGGTGCAGTAGCAAAGCGTGATTTGTAAGTCTGCGGGCTCCTGAATCCCTCAATAAGCTGGGCCTTTTCTAGAGTATCGATCATGTACAGAAAGATAATTTATACACTTACCACATATCTCAATGAAAATGAGAAATTGTGAAGGTTCATTGTGAGTCCACTACCTCGTCACCACTAATTCCGAATTAAAATTGCGTAGACTGTTAATAGAAGAAAACGCTTTGAAAATGTGACTCCAATCCAACTTTAAGAAGTAAAGATAAGATTTTGAATAAAGACCAGGAAGCCGGAGCTTTGCCAATACCTCATAGAAAAGAGAAGGCCTTAGCACGGATTACCATAAACAAGAAATTTGATCCTTTAGTAATCCAAACATAATGACATCTTTCGTATTTTCCACCACTGCGCAACTTAGTAGTCCAAACGTAGTGACGTCTTTCTTCTTTTTTATCGACTGCGCAGTTTATGTTCGTCGCGTCGGACTACTAAATTGATCCATGCTGAGGCCTTCGTTCTTCTAGGAGGTGTTGGCTCAGCCCCCTGTTCGCTGCCGCTGATCAACTCAGATGATTGCTTCGCAATAATTGTTGTTCCTTGGCAGAAAACAGTTTTTATACTAAAGTTAAAATTATTCCCTTAACATGCATGTACTAAAAGGAATTCTGTTTACATACACTTCTTCCTCTACTTCCCACATCCAAATATTATTATCACTTTGACGTTTCGTCACGTCAAAGTAGTTTCACGAGTAAACAAATTCGCGTTTGAAGCCTTCTTTTCTAAGTATTAAGATATTCGTATTAATGAAATTGCGGCGTGACATCGTAATTGAGATTTTTCTTGCGCCATTTTCGAGATAGAAATACGGGAGATCTTCTACAATAAGATACCACTTTAATATAATAACTTTCTTTTTTCACCCACAGCCTCTATTACTGTGATATTTATTTATTTATTATTCTACAATTGAAATCCCTTATTTGATGTATTAGGTTGGGAGCAGCCTGCCTGGTTCGCATTGGATGGAGACATAAAAGAATACAAACCTAGTTTCAACAGAACAAACTGGTATCAACCGGTCGGCAGGGAATGCCGGTTGGTGATGAACAAAGTAGGAATCATAGATTTGACACCATTTGCGAAATTCCGAGTCTCCGGTGCTGATGCTGGCTTATTTCTGGACAAAATTCTAGCCAACAAGTTACCAAAGGTATTGACCTAAATAGGCATAGCATGTTTTTCCTAGATTATTTATGCCTTAAATTTGTATACATAATCCTGTTTTTTGAACACGGTGTAGAAACATTTCCTGGGTGAGTTTGAGGAAAGATCATTAGACAATACCAACCTTCTTCTATCAAAAGGTATCTCAAGATTGAATCAAGTTAGCATGTCTTATATATACTATGGATAGATGTTTAATAATGGTAGTGGTAGTTACGCCACAATACTCTTTCACCAGAATTATATCAGGGATAGAATTTGATGAACGGATATCACTAGCTACTGTATTTGTGAAAGACTGAGAGAGCTGAGTTAAGGTCACCGGGTTTCGACCTTTTAGCCATAACAGCTGTATTAAGTTCATGGTTGTGTGCATGATCATTCCTGTGTTGTTTTAGTAGTCGAGTCTGCGCAGTATCCCGTTGCGTATAAACGAGACTGAGAAGCAACGGCTGTAGGAGGAAGATGACGCAGTCACAAATAGCAAGTCAACTGTTTGTGGATCATCCATCGAAGTAGGCGTGATGACATTTAGTCAGCAAGTTACCAAGCATGTTTTACATACTAGTGGATAGATGTTTAATAATTGTAGTGGTAGTTACGCCACAATACTCTTTCACCAGAATTTTATCAGGGATAGAATTTGATGAACGGATATCACTAGCAACTGTATTTTTTATTCTAGACATGTTCTTTTATTTCTGCATATGAGAACAGACACAGTTAGTTAAGTAAATGGAAATAGCAAATTGCATTTGATTCAGTTTTTCTTTTATGAATACTTTTTAAAGTATTTAATGAATCCAAATAAATTCGACATCGACATATGACATCGTTCATTTGCATAAATCACTTGTTACATTTTATTAAATTAGTCTTTCTTTGTTGTTTAAAAGTTACCCGTTTATCAGGTTGCCGCGGGTGCAATAAATTTATTATAGTGAAAATAAATTTAAGTTGACGGATTTTCGAACTTTAAACTCACTTTATCGATTACAGTTCTGAAATCGAAGAAATCGCCTGAATAGTTACATCTGTATACCTAGCCACCACCATGTCAGGGATCTTAATGATTATGCTCAGGGTAAGCTGAAATAAGTAAGCTAGCCATGATATCGAAGAATCTTACTTTCTCCTCCATTCCAGTAAATTCATACTAAGATATTTTGCAATGAGGATAAGCCACAATTTTCCGTAACCATGGTAACGGCAGCGGGAAATTTGTGGAGAGTGGGAAAATCACGTACAATTTAGACGCTTATTCTGTCTTGCAGAAATTTTTTTAACATAGCTGTCTAGCCTTTGTTGCATGGCAGACATGTAAAGTGGTAGTCAAACTAGTCCCACACGCAGAAGATCATTTCTTGTGTACTTGTATTTTCCGATTTGTATGAAATGTAACTTAAAGTTGTTAATAATTGTTACAGATGGGTAAAACTAATATTTCCCACCTGTTGACTGAGAATGGAAAAGTGTATGCAGAGCTCACTGTTACTAGATTAGATGAAAACTTGTTTCTCTTGATCACTGGCTCTGGATCAGAAATACACGATCTCAGGTATGGATTACTTTCATTTTTTATTCTTTTTTTTCTACACACAAATATTTTATCCCCTTCATTAATTTCGACGTTAATTCGTCTACAAGATATTTTGAACTAAAAAACGATCACCTTAAGATAAAAATTATTTTTCAGATTGCATCTATATTCTTAAAAAAATGATCTGAAATCAATTTTAAACAAGAAATAAGAAAACTTACCAGCACAACTGCAACTTGTCCAATAAATACTAAAAATCCCATTCCTATTTTGAAAGGTGAAAAAAAAACATATAGCTTGCATGTTATTGATTGCAAAATTAGGTAGGTACTTTATTTACGTCGCACTAGAGCTGCACAATGGGCTATTGGCGATGATCTGGGAAACATCCCAGAGGATGATCTGAAGACATGCCATCGCGCTTTTGATCCTCTGCAGAGGGGATGGCTCCCCTGCTTTGGTAGCCCGACGGCCTGCGCTTGAAATCGAGCACTTTACGGTAGAACAGTTTAACGAGCCGATACTACGCACCCTCGGTCCCTACACAGGCTGATCAAAGCAGGCCCACTGACCGCAGCCAGTGATGCTTGACTTCGGTGTAATACTGGGAATCGTCTCTTAGAGATCAGACTACTGCGGGACTGCACAATTAGAGATAGTTTTCTATAGATAGAGGAATATATATATACTTAAGTAATGGATGCATATCCTGTTTGAGTAATCACGTATCGTATTTGAGATTCGAAATACACACTATAATGTAGAGTGGTATGAATACTGCGTGATTAATACAGCAGATTCTAATTTAACCATGATTATATCATCCAGCCGGGATCATCAAAGGATATAATGTGAATGGTGGAATATGCGAGTAGACAGCATTATTCTCAACCCTTCCTACCGTATTAAAGTTGTCCTTCAAATCATGAGTTTAATTTTTCTTCTTTGCATTCTTCTAGAAGCTGTAATCTTAAATAGAAAAAAACGTTTCCGCAGCAGGGTTTTGTGGATCATGGAAGTTAAAGTTCCACGATGACATTACCTACAACATTGGGGTTGGTGTTACGCACTGGCCCCTTTCACTTCCTCGTCGTCTTTGTTCGTTTGTCATACGTTCATTCATCCACAGATCGCAATTTTAACCTGAACCAGAGAACGATCAATCTCCAATTCAGTACCCTAGAGGTATAACTTGTTATGGGAGCATGGATGACTTTGTGACCCAACAGATTTAACGTGCATCAGTCACCATTAAATACACGGGGAATCTTCGGCCTGCTGGATTCGAACTCCCGTTCTCACGAACGGGAATGCAGGACTATGCCAACCAGGCTATCACGGCCTTTACTTTTTGGTAATCAGGATGTTCGAGTTCAGAGATACAAATAAGAATAAGATTGTCAAGTTTTTCGAGCTGAAAATACCTTTTACCCATCGAGTTTCTTTCACATTTCCGAATTCGCACCCGCGTAATTTTTACATTCACTGTCATTTTAGCATGCTCGTACTTCTTTGATGCGTGAAAACATTGATGTCCATTGGGAGTTGTTTCACCAAAACACAAAAGTTCACAGTTGGTTCATTTCACAGTTCTAAACATTTTGTTTGCAGGTACTTAGAAGAGAAAGCTCGAACCTGGAAGAGTGACGTCCGATTCGAGAATGTGACTGATGAGGTAGCCTGTTTGAGCGTAGCCGGTCCTCTCTCCAGACAAGTTCTGCAGAAGCTCACAAGTGTGAATATGGAAGATTTTCCATTCTTGGCGACGAGGGAGATGCAAATTGGTGGGATTCGAGTAACAGCAATAAGGATTTCATACACAGGTATGCATTTTAAAATCTGTGTGCACTATTAAAAATGGAAATTTAAATTCCTTGAAATGTTTTTATTTTTGACGAAACAGTTTCAAATTGTTGTTGTTGTTGTATTTCATTTACGTCGTACTAGAGCTGAACAATAGGCTATTGGGGACGGTCTGGGAAACATCCCTGAGGATGATCCGAAGACATGCTATCACAATTTTGATCCTCTGCAGAGGGGGTGGCACCCTCGCTTCTGTAGCCCGACGACCTGCACGCGAAGTCGAGCAATTTATGGTAGAACAGTTTAACGAGACTAATACAGCTCACCCTCGGTCCTTAAGCAGACTGATCCAAGTGGTCACCGCACACTGACCGCAGCCAATGATGCTCGACTTCTGTGATCTGCTGGGAACCGTGTCTTAACGATCAGTCCACTGTGGGACGAAACAGTTTCAAGAGAAATGCTTCGAATGTATATTTCGTCAGATTTAGGTAGGTAGGTATTTTGATTACGTCGCACTAGAGCTGCACAATGGGCTATTGGCGACAGTCTTGGGAACATCCTTGAGGATGATCCGAAGACATGCCATCGCCATTATGATCCTCTGTTTTTACAGCCCGACGACCTGCGAGCACTTTACGGTAGAACAGTTAAACGAGGACCGATACTGCGCACCCTCGGTTTATACACAGGCTGATCAAAGTAGTCACCCACCCGCTTTCTGAACGTAGTCAGTGGTGCTTTACTTCGGTGTTCTACTGGAAACCGTGTCTTTACGATCAGTCCATTGCGGGATGTCAGATTTAGGAAATTACGACTTCCGTTTGCTAATTTATATAAAATTCGTCAAAAACATTAGGCTTATGCAATATATTGTTTGACAAACTTTAGCAAAAAATGCAACATAAAATAAAAGGAGTATTAGCAATTGAGTACTCATATATTGCCAAGAATCAAACCTGTCGAATGATCATGTTCTTTATGGTCACCATCATACAACATTTTCCATTACGCGATAATGGTTTTTGATATGCCAGCAAACTTCCATCATTCCATGATGGAAAATGCTACTTCAATGCTATGATGGTTAACCATCAATAGAACCTTGACTCTCATAGACCAACAATCCATGAGGGTTCCAACTATACCTTTCCATAATGGTTTAATGGGAACTCTTGTTGGTTCTCATTAATATACCATGTGAACAATTTTTTTTTAAAGGTTGGATCATTATAAATCAGTCCGAATTCCTACATAGGGATCGATGGTGATTTTTCATGAACGTTCCAACATATGATTTCAAAGATACAATGATGGAAATTCGTGATGGTTCAACGTGAACAAACAATTAAAACAAGTTGCTCTTCTTATGTTGGACCATCACCGAATTCCTACATTGATGTGATGGTTACTTATGTTGGTTACTATAAAAAAATATAATGATTCGTGATGGAATTTTTGATGATTACCATCAAGATTACGTTGGTTCATCAATGGAAAACCATCCAAAAATGTGACTTGAGAAGGAATGCTTTTAGAATAACTGAGGTAATAAAAAGGAAGGAAGCGTTTAACATATCCTACGCTTATTTTGAATGGATAAAAATATACCATTTCTAAAAAGCATAATCTTTCAAATCTAAAAAGCATAATCAATCTAATCTTACATAGCCAACACAGTTTGGCTTTGTAAAATCTTTTAAGACATTCGCTGTCAAAAGATTGTTTGTACCTGCTGGGTTTTAATCTAATGTCTTTGACAGGTGAATTGGGATGGGAGTTGTACCACAATTCTGAAGATACTGCCCAACTATATGAATCCCTACTGGAATCTGGAGAGGAATTTGGGATCGGAGATTTCGGTACTTATGCCTTAAATTCATTGAGGTTGGAAAAAGGATTTCGGATGTGGGGAGCGGAGGTAAGATGCCTTCCATTGGTAGTGACAAATTTACTCTTTGCCTTGAATTTAATGAGCAGGCTAATTATAAAACAAGTAATATATACAAGGGGTGATCAAATGAAAAGGTACGAAACGACGTAAAAACGTAACAGTTAAATATTTACATATTCCGCCATGGGAGAACGTAGCGAGACATATCGGGATGCGATTGGAGTCTTTGACGGGGGTCGGAGCAAGCGCGGGCGCCCGCATGCGCAGGAGAGAGCAGAGGCTCTTATCAAAATCAGCGTCCAAATGATGCGGCAGTCCGTATGAGGAACAGAAACTCGAGCACAGAAAAACCATTAACTCCTATGTGTACTGTGAGACATTCCGACACCTACGCAGGTCCATCAAGAAGAAAAGACCAGGGGCTGCTCGCAGAGGGTGTGGTTCTGCTCCATGATCGCGTCCACACGTCTCAAGAGTCACACACATGGAACTAGCCAAGTTCAAGTGGGAGACGTTGGACCATCCGCCCTACAGTCCGGACATGTCATCCTGCGATTTCCATGTGTTTGGTCCACTGAAGAAAAGCCTAAAAGGGAAGCGCTTCAACTTGGACGACGTACTCAAGGACGCTGTGAAGGACTGGGTCTCGTCTCGGCCACAGGAATTCTGGGAACAAGGATTCCTGCGGCTTGTTCATTAGTGGGATCGTTGTGCTCAGGCCTATGGTGTATATTTTGAACAAAGTCTACATTTGTACCCACCATGTCGTTTCGTACCTTTTCATTTGATCACCCCTTGTATAAAAAAAAATTAAAGTCAAATCCTGCTTAGGTCAATAAAGAAACACTTAATTATAGTTACTTTTTATTAAATAATTAAAATTTTTCTCTCCCATATAAAACTAAAATAATTTCAAATTTAATTAATGAATTAATATTTTAAAAATCTGTTTTAACATCGAGTGTTATCCGCTACAAGTTTAAAAAAATATTTGAATTTAAGTAGATGAATAAAAAGTATTTTAACGATTGGAAATTTGAACAAGATATATCTATAGATATAAAAATCTCTTGTCACAGTTTTAGTGGTTAAACTCCTCCTAAACGGCTGGATCGATTTTGATGAAATTTTATATGTATATTCAGTAGGTATGAGAATAGGTTTATAACTAATTTTTTTTTCATTTTTTGGACAGATTTAACGTATATTTTAAATATATCTTTATTTAATCATATTCCAATCCAAACTAGACATAGAAACCTGATAAATCAAAAAGTAATATTCACGCACGTTGCAACNTTGATGAGCAATCTTCTTCAGATGTTCAAGAAAAATATGATAACAGTATTCTCGAACAAGCAAAAGAAATCTGAGGTTTCGAAATTCTTGACGAAGAAAATTTTGAAGATTGGTTTAAAAGTGATGCATGTGAGCCTGGCTTCCAGTATTTGACAGATGAAGACATCGTTATGTTGTTAAATCAAATAGTGATGATAGTAACTGATGCAAAAGATGTAGTAAATGAGGGAAATGCAATTTCTATTTCTGCTGCTCTGTGGAAATTTTATTAGATCATATGGGAGGATTTGATTACGGTGATATTACTGCGGTTCGTAAAACATGTGTAAAACATATGACGAAGACGCATTACACAATTTTTTAAAANCACAGCTGCAATTTATATAAATGCTTGCAATAAATAGGAGAAAATTATATTTTTATTTATTTAAAAGCGACGGTTAGTTTCAACGGAGAACGGGTGCATTGTTGGACAAGCCGTCCTCGGGGACGGGTAAAATTTCTGAGTTTTTTCGAGCCCTGAATGAAACTATTTGTTGGCACTTTAACTGATCTTCCTAGTTAACATGCTGATTAGCTAGATAATCAGTAGAATAAATGATTTCTTAACTTTAACGGCGACATTACAAACTCAGATACTCTGGCCGACAAAATTGGAAGACATTTTCCCAAACATACCAAAAAATACTGAATATAAATAAATGAAATTCGGTATGGATATAGCTTATTCCATGATAATAAAGTATGCAAAACAAAAATGAAAGTGCCATTCACTGGCAACACCTATTGCCAATAAATCCAATGTAGTCTGAACTTATGGATAAAAGATGACAATAAAAGTGAGGCTTGTACAGTGTGTTTTGCCTCTAGTATGGTGTATGGTCACCCCTGACAGACAGCATGCATGCTGTTAATAAGGGAGTTAAGGAGGACTTGTGGAACCCTCCCATTCTTCCACCAGAGCAATTTTTAACTCCAGAATGGTTCTGGGGGAAGGTTGGCGCATCGCAATGCTCTCCCAAGCATGTTCATTAGGATCCATTCGTTGAATATCCTCGCTTTCCAGATACTCATCAACCATGAGAGCCCTATGTGGTCGCACATTGTCGTCGATAAAAATGAACTCAGGTCCAACACCTCCCCTGAAAAGACGCACATAGGGCTCTAGGACCTCCTGCCTGTACATCTGGGCGTTCACGGAACCATTGTCAAACGCATGGGGCGGTGCGCGAGTATCTTGCATGATTCCTGCCCAAACCATGAGTCCTCAACTAGCATAATGGCCCCTTTCGATAATGTTGCTGGGATGGTATCGGGTTCCAGGTTCCCTCCATATCAATAACCGCCCAGAAATAGCGTCGTAGAAATGTGCGAAAATGCTTTCCATCTCTTAATATTGTCCACCAGTGTATTATCAATTTTAATCCTAATTCCTTGCGGTTTTAAATGAACTAAAAAAGTGGTCATCTCCATAGTAAATGATTCATTTTTAATTGCAGATGAATATGGATACAAATCCCTTTGAAGCGGGACTTCACAGTTTCATTGACATGAAGAAAAAAGATTTCATAGGAAAAGCTAGTTTGGAAAACATTTTACGAAATGGATTAGAAAAGAAGTTGGTCTACCTGAAAGTGGACACCGCGGACATTGATCCAGAGGGCAATGAAAGCGTCCATTGCTCTAACAAGGTAAGCCATTACCAAATCATAATCAAACCATTCAGTAAAATATTATAAACTTAATATTATACAAAGTGTCCCGTAAAACTTCTATGGGAGGTCGGGCACATGAGGTATAGCAAACCGACCACAAATATGATCTTGCGGGGAGTTTCCCTATTATGTTGGTGCACTTTATAACCTTTACTATTAGTTATTGAAGAGCCTTGATGGCTCAGGGGATAGAGCACTCACCTTCCGATAAGGTTAGCCAGGTTCGAATCTTAGCAATGGCTGGTAGATTCCGCATCCGGCTTGCACCGACCACAATGCTGACGTAAAATATCATCAGTGGTAGACGAATCATGGGTTAGAGTCCTCTTCTCGAGAAGAGAACTCTAACCCATGATTCGTCAGGCTAAGTGGTAGTTTTCTGTGTTTTTCCTCACCATGTAACGCAAATGCTGGTTAGTTCCATCAAAAATTTCTCCATGAAGGCGAATTTCTCTCAATACTTGATCCAGGAGTTCCCTTGTTTTCTAGATTGAATTCAAAATGACAAAGATACGGAGTTGTAGCCATAAACCTAAAAAAATTGGGTCGACTGTTCAACGACGGTTATAACATATTAGTTATGTTGTATAATACCTTAATATCATGTTTTCTGACTGCCGAAAATTGAATTTAAATAGCATCAGAAATCACTGTTCAAAGGTACACAAACAATACATTTATAATTGGGAAGCGCCCCTTGCAGCGCACGATGATATTTCCGATCTTTGTTGCTATGCAACTCTTAACTGCTTCCCTTACATATATTTTTGAAAAAAAAAAATTCAAAAAATTAACATATTTTTTTATTTAAGTAATAAGTATAAGAAACTAAAGCAAAACATAATATAGAAGTTTTAAGCTGAATTTTTATATGTTTTTATGGGTAAAAATTATTTAATTTACCTTCAGTTTACTATCCGGAGTAATCTCGGGCAAAAGAAAATAGTTAAATATTAGTCTTTGCATGTGATTTTTTAAAACAAGGAACAACACAAAATGAAAATTTCCAAACACTAGTGAAATGATATGCCATTTTTTAAAATTCTTTTTTTTTCTATGTAAATTCAGTAAACATCGTATAGGCAAGCGCATACGGTACCACAATCCAACGGCAAAACTCCCAAACAAAATTTGGCAAATTTCCAAACAGCAGATTATGATTTGTTTGCTTCCAGCCGAGTAAAAACGTGATAAAACAAAACAAACTGACAAATTCTGCTACACCCGAGTTTTCTCGAGATAATAAATATTTGCAATATGTACACACCCCCCCAGTTAACTCGGAATAATGAGGGAAGCGGTTAATGCGTATGATGTGCTCTACTTCCCTAGGATTTTGTATCAACATTTAAGGGTCACCTTGTAGATAGTTTGTCTAAAGTAAGAACTCCCCTAGCCATTCTTCTGGACCCACGGCGGTGACTATGGTAACGAGGTATATCTATTTCAAAGAGGGGTGTGGGGTCATTGTTTAGGACAGGTTTTGACTCGGGGTCGGTGAGAGTAAGGGAATCTTTTTCTTCGGTCTATCGCGTTAGCCCTAGACTGAAGAGAAACTATACCCTCCCTGACATGCGCTATTCTTGTTTCCATAACAGCAGACGGCCTCAGACTTTGTGGCGGGGGGAGTTCTTACCATAGACAAACTATACTACATAAATAGAATAGGCGTCTCAAGATTACCCTCTCACAAAGCATGCTTTTGGCAAATTTTGCATTACCCCCCCGGCAAGTTTATTCCGACTTCTTATTGAAAAGTACTGCTGTGGGGGAAAAAGAACAAGACTCACCGAAACCATAGTAACGGAAAGGGAGAAATGTGTGGAGAGTGGGAAAAATCACATAGCATTGAGACACCTATTCTACTTGCAAAGAGTATAATAATATTGAATTCATGGATTTTTGTCCATACAGGACTGAAACGCTTATTTTTATATTAGATTGTAGGCAATACAACATCAGGTTCATTTGGATACACTGTCGATCATAGTTTGGCTTTCGCCTATCTACCTCCGTTTTTAGCTGTTCCGGGAACAGAAGTCGAAGTGGAACTGCTTGGACAACTACACCCAGCAAAGGTATTAAAGAATCCCCCAGTGCAGATCGAATCACTCAGAAGGCATAAAACCCTTGTTTCATAACCCTTTGACTTACACGCTGATCAACTTATTCGGGTTGTTTTAAAGTAACCCAGTGTATTAAATGTGGTTGTATGTATAGAAGAGGATGAACAATTTTTACAAGCAACTTTCATCAAATGAAAAGTGAGAATTCACTTTGTTTCATGCATCTTTTTCAATGTTTTTTTTTCTGCTTTTTTTAAAAATAAAAATAGAATTTTATTAGTTTTTAGAATTTTATTAATGGGTAATATTTGAACAGTACATTATTTTATCAAAGACATGTTTTCTGTTTATTCTTTTTTAAAAAAAAGCAGCGTTGTAATAAAAACTTTTCTAAGACACTACAAGAAAAAAGTAATAAAACCTTTTTCATATAAAATCACTTTTTTTTTTATTTAAGTAACAACTAATTAGGTTTCTGCAACTGAACCATAATCAGTGGATATATATATA